TTTTTTTTTTTTTTTTTTTTTTTTTTTTTTTTTTTTTTACGTTTAGTCATGAGAGCGGCTCCAACTGTTACTCGTAGGGAGGAGGATATAAACCTTACAACATTGATTAAAACCACTTAACCTACAGGATCAGATTCAGTTGTTTCACGTCTTATTGACGCCAATACTCCCCTAAATTTTAATGTTACCTTTCTAGTTTATAGTGGAGAGGTAAACTCTGATTACATACCTCATGTCGCCTTGCACCCTTAAGTAACCATATCAAATTTATTTAAAATATTGAGTGCAAATTATTTTATTAGTATTACAGAGACATATAATTATAAATTTAAAATATTAACATATTATTAAATGAATTGATACATATAATAATACATATAAATTTTTAAATAAAAAGAATCAATCAAATATCAAAATTATAAATTTACAATATCACATAATATTATAATTAGATCATTTTCATTTTTATAGTTTGCTCTGGATAAAAAAGCATAAGTTCTGGGTCAAAACATGATTAAAATGACTCAATTAGGAGTAGAAAGCAACTGACTCAAACAGTAGAGAGCAGTAAAATTCCCAAACATTTGAAGCAAACACGAAGATGAAGATATTACAGCATCGCTTAATCCCATCTGCCATAGCTAGCTTAAAAGATCCACGGTAAGCAAATGACTCAATTAAGTGTCCATCCTCTTTTGTTGTCTCCTCTGCTTGATAACAAATCTAGAGATTAAGTTAACAATGATTGGTTGAAGAGATGTGAACCATACCAGGTAGTACAATACGATCCTAGCCATATAAATGCAATTACAGGAAGTGCTGCTCATGGGATGTTATCCCGTTGCCAGCTGCAGTACTAGACCTTCTTCTGCTAGTCTCTGCATGGTTGCAAACTTGTTCTCTAACAACACAATGCTTGGACTTTAACTGTTCTCGTTCTAGAAAAAACTCTGGCCACGATTTCCTGTTTCATTGTGAAGAATTAAATACAATTTTGTTTGTTAATTCAGCAACGCCATCATTCAACATATATTTATTATACAGTACAAGGAAAATTTGTTAATGAAACAGGACATCCACAGCATGGTCTGGAAATATTGTATTTTAGCATGTATCGTCCATTCATCCATATGCTTCTATGCTAAAGCATAAAAACAATAAGTAGAACTAAGACTATGTACCTACCAGAAAGGGCATTGAAATCAGATGTTTGAGCTTTGTGATTTCCTCTGGTGAGTTATTGTATCATTGGGCTTTATAACATAACAGAAAGATCCCCTTCCCTACAAGATGAGCTTTATAAATAGAAGAAACGATGAGGAACAGCTATCAGATATAAATCAAAGAAATGAAAGGCAATCGTTTTAGTGACTGTCAAGAGTTGATATTCTGACCAAAGTTAATAACAATAGATATAAAGAATTCCATGCCACTTTACATAAGATATTAAGTCAGGAATACACAGCCAATTATATCTGCCAAAAGGAAGCAAGATAAGGCAAGAAATTTCCATGATTCTTGCATGAAAACATTGAAGGATGAAATTTTGTTTGTAGCAAGTAGCTAAACTCAGGCTCTAGCCACTGTGTCAACAAAAATACTGTCAGCAGAAGTGCGAAAGTGTCTGTGCACAGATGCAAATGTGTGTGTGAGAGAGAGAGATATATGGGAATTGGGAACCATATAAACTGACTGTCAAAACAACTTGGTATGATGGAAAAGAATATCAGTTTCCTAGTTATGAAGCTTCAGCATACCTCCTGAACATCAATGAACTTGTTTCCATGATTCCATCCATTAATTAAAAATAACCAGACAATACCATAGATCTCTTAAGTCTGAATCCCAAAGCATCTGATATTTCTGCTGGATCTGTGGAATTTAGAATATGATCTTCTCAAGAGAATGCCTCATTTGTTTCATAAAGTTCTGCAGTCATGCAATCTAACACTGAATATATAGCCTCTGTTTTTGCATGTGATCTATCACAGGAGGTAAATATATTAACACTATTATCCACGTACACCCAACTGCAGCCAGCAAACTTCTTGACTTCCTTTCCTCTCATTTGCTTTCTTATTCTGCCCATCTCATCCCAATTGCCCTCTGCAGCATAGATGTTAGCCAACTGCACATAGCGAGCCCCATTATCACTTTGCACTCTTAATAGCTTCTCCTCTGCCTCTCTTGCTAATTCTGCACACCTATTTAGCCTACAAGCATTTAGAAATGCCCCCAAAATAACAGCATCAGGCTCTATAGGAATACTTTTCAAAAATGCCTCTGCCTTTTCTAATTGATTAGCCCTCCCATAAAGATCAATCATACAGGCATAATGGTCAATCTCGGGCGATACGTTATAATCTTCTCTCATGGAATCAAAGTACTTTTCACCAAGTTCTACCAAACCACAGTGACGGCAAGCTGATAGAAGCGCAATGAAAGTAACAGCATCAGGCCAAATTCCCTTATTCAACATCTCCTCAAACAGAAGAAAAGCTTTATTTTCATGACCATTGTGGGCATAACCAGCTATCATGATATTGTAAATGACTAAATCTCTTTCATTAACATTGTTAAAGATCATTTCTGCATATGCTATATTCCCACATTTTGAATACATATCCATTATGGCACTAATTAACTTTTCATCAATATCAAACCCCATTCTAAGTATATAGCCATGAATCTGCTTCCCAGGATCCAGGGTGGCTTGTAGCGCAGATGCCCCAAGCATACTGATAAGCATCAATACATCAGGAGTTGTTGCATCCTTAGCTTTAAACTCATCAAAAAGTTGAAACACAGCTTCGCATTGCTGTGATTTGAGATAACCAGAAAATAAAGCTGTCCAAACAACAGAGTTCTTCTCCTCCAAGGAATCAAAAAGCCTCTGTGCTTCAACCATATTACCTTGAAATGAATAACCAACAATCAGGGAAGTGGCTGAATAAGAGTTTCTGCCTCCACTAGCCAAATGCAGTAATTCTGCATGCTTCATCTGGCCACACTTGCAGTAAACATCAACAATGCCACTACTGACAAAAGAATTTGAACTCAAACCATTCTTCAAAACCCATGCATGAACCTCCTTTCCAACTTTTAAGTTCCTTGATTCAGAGCAGGCACTCAGAACACTTGTAAAAGTATGTTCATTCCATTTATGTCCAGACTCTGCCATGCTAACAAACAACTCCAATGCCCGCCCTGGATAATTGTTCTGTTGATAACCCGAAATCAATGTATTCCAAGATACAGCATCATTCAACTCAGGCTCTCTCCAAAAAAGATTCTCAGCTATTTCAAGCTCACCTACTCTACAGCAAGCTGCCACCATTGCGTTCTTTGAAACCAAATCAAGCACGCCACCAAAACCATGAAACACCTGCACAGCTCCCTCAAAACATCCGCATTTAGAATACATATCAACAAGAGAACTGACTGCAAACCCGCTTCTATCATTAGCTGTTTTCACCATAAATCCGTGCAACTGTCTACCATAATCAACATTACACACCTTAGCGCTCAAGTTAAGCATTGTAGTCACGGTAAACTCATCGATCCTAATCCAATCATGAGCCCTTTGCATATCGGAAAACAACTTAACCGCGTGAGTTTCATACCCGTCAGCACCCACATACCCGGACAACATCGAATTATAACTGACCAAATCTTTATACGAAGCAGCGTCAAACAAAGCCCGTGCTTGCATTAAGTTATGGGATTTTATGTAGGCAGAGATTATGGTATTCCAGGTGAAAACATTTCGTTTGGGCATTTCATCGAACAGTTTCTGAGCTTCGCTTAAAAAACCATGCTTTGCGTACAAGTGCATGAGCTGATTAGAAAAGATCATTGGGATAAGCCCAGATTTTATTGCTTGAACCTGGTTCAGAAGACCATCTTTCAATGATCTCATTTACCTGAAGAAAACATGCAAAAGCATGAGATGAGAAGGAGAGAGCGGCTCGGCGCAGAGACCAAACGATCGAAAGCGCTTAGACCTTTAAGTATGTTAAAATATCCGAAAAACCAAAAGTCTTGTCTTGACCGGACGAGCTGCTCGTACTCAGTTCAAAGCTCGATACCGAGGTTTGATCGGTTCGATTAGACACCCGGCCTTGACCAGTCCAATCCCTAAATTTTGATTTTTTTTTTTTTTTTGGGGGGGTGGGGTGGAGAGGGCAAAGGAAACAATATTTCTTTTTTCATTTGTATCCAACAATTTTGTTTACAAAACAATCTATAGAGATTATCTTTAGAAAATTTTAATAAAATTTAGCTATTTCACCATGGGATATTTTTGTTATGAATTTATTGCACTAAATAAAATTCTCATTCATGTTCCCTATTGATAATTATGGATTTGTCATATAGAATAACTAAATGAGATTTCAAACATCTATGTTATAAGCACACCAAAGCAAGGAAGAACTTGTGTGGGCACTAGAGGTGTCTCCAATGTACCCTTTAATCAAGCAAGGTTCAAGTGGTGATATAAGAGAATGAAAAAAACAATTAGGGAAGAAGAGGAATTCAAAAGATTACCTAAAATGGTAAGGAAGAGGCCTTTTATAGCCTCTTTCTTGATTTGTCACTTAGTGGAGGGATCTATCAATTTTCGTACTTCATAGGTTCCTTACTTGGCAAAATAGTATAAGTGATTAGTGCGACAATTTGTATAATCAGGACACATGTGCATAAGACAAAAATGAGTTGAGGCTAACGTCCTCTAATACTCTAAGGTAAGCATGATAATGCTTTTGCATGCATACTACTTGATATGGTATGAGCCCCTTATCCTTTGTACTTTTGTCTTTATCTTAGCTTTGATGGGTAAATCTGGGTCATAATTATATTTTGAGTAGCTTACTAGTTATGTAGGTATTGACTAAGACAACACATCAACTAGAAAGCTCTATAGGTATAGCTCTACTAAATATTTTGCAAGAGCCTTCTCTTAGCTGAATTAGATAGTCAACTCTACTAAAATCAGTTATTCCTCAAACTATGTGAACCAATTAAGAATCATCCATCAGGTATACAGTAAATATTCAATTAATGTCAGTAATACCTCTCATTTTAATAAAAAGCAAAAAATAGATTATTCAATCATTGATGTCTTGAATTAATTTCTTGAATTTTCTAAGCTTTTGCTTAAATAGAAAAGTATTTAAATTAAATAAAAATTGTTTTAAATTTATTGTTAATAAATTGCGTTACAATATGGAAATATTGTACAAAAATTTTATGTTATACTAGAAAATTCTAATTATTTGTCATGTGAGAAAATCCCATATCATTTAAAGAGTTTATTTGGCCTTTTATATGCTTTTTATATCCATGTTATAAACAAGACTGATATCTTTATTGTTAATTAATACATGTAAGATGGTTTTTCATTGTTATAGGTATTTGATATATTTGTTCCCACTCAATAAAAGTTTGAAAATAGTAAGTATACTAGACTGGAAAATAACGACGACAATGAATGCCAAATTCTACATATTACTAGAATTGTTGGTTTATTAACATTAAATTGCTAGTATATTTAGTTGTCGTTTGCTAAAAAAATTAAGGAAAAAGAAAGAAACTATAGTTGCACATGATTGATAACACAGCTGAAACTTAATATCAATTATTGATAAAATGATCATGTCAGCACAAATACACCACTTAGATACTTGGAAATGGCACTAATCTTTTTTTTTTTTGAAACTAATACAGGGCAAATTATACTGGTATAGTAGACTTTACTGTTGCTAGAAAAGTTTTAATATAAATATTTCAAACTATATGCATATCCCAACAATCAAATTTAGCTTAATCACCTGAGTTTCTAGCATCAAGATAACAGAAAATTAGAATTTAAAATTTTCAAAACATCAGGAATAACCGCGAGCAAGATTCATGCGTGCCCTTGACATATAACATTAAACCAATTTTATTCATGCCACATAAAAACAAGTCTTGTTATACTGAACAAAGGAAGATTAAAGCAAATAACCTGTGATGTTAAATCCCTCAGCATAAATCATGCGAAGTTTGGCTCCAAGCTTCCACACACATTCAGCAATATGTTGCTTGCAATTGCAACCCCTCCTAGCACATAATGGACCTAAATAGATTATTCTCAAATATAAAAGACCCACATTGTAAATCTAAAATGAACTAATCTCAAGTTATAATATACCCTTTCCAACCATATTACTTCTGGACACAACAGAATTTACAACTCCCCTCAATACAAAAGCACCCCACTTTAAGCCACAATCTCAATAGACAAGCTTAACTGATCAGCAGAATTTCCTCTTTGCATAAAATTAAAAGAGAACTAACAATTCCGTTATGGGTTTTGGTTTACTTTTCCCTGGACGGAGGAATTATTGTTGCTTATTAAGTTATTGCAGATACTAATCAAACAAGGCAATACTAAATGAAAATCTGGATGATATGAGACTTTGTCAGGACAGGTGGTCCTTGGGTGCGGAGGAAGTGAAGATCATGCCCCTTATGATTACAGGCTCTGCTTCCCCATCTTTCATTTGTTTCTCCATTTCTCTCCTTCCTCACTCTATTGTTTCCAGTCTCCCTGGAGGGCGTTAGTTTGGCCCCTTATGACTCATGGATGGAGACTACTATCGTTGACTAACGGTCCAGATTTTTTTGGGCTTCTTTATTTGGGGTGAATTCAATTTGGGTTTGATAAAAGTCTGGCCTAAGTACCGAGAAGAAACAAGATGTTACCTTATAATTAGAATTGGCAGTTGGGCTGGACATTTTGAGTGTAAGCTCCAGTCTTAGCCTCCAACAAATTGGTCCCCCTTTTTTTTTTTTTTTTATAAAAATAATTAAAAAAAAATTTCCATCGGTTCTTTTAAGGGTTAGTTTATTTGTCATCCCATCTTAATTTGATTTGATAGAAAGTTTCTCTTTCTTATACTTCTCCTTCAAACCAAGCATACTGTACATGTAATGTAAGTTTATTTTTTTGCAAGGATCCTTATGATAATGCGATTACATGTTAATTGTGATTGGTCAATAATAATTTTGATAGTGACAAGCATTACAATGAAATGTGCTAAAGCAAAGGACATTACGGCACCAAAAGGCAGAGCAATAATGAGGCAGAGGCATGGGAATTAGTCTGTTCATTGTAGTGCACCACAAATTGTTGTTGACGAAATCTGAATGAATTTGAGACTTGGAATGGAGTGGAGTAATGATAATTGACAACACTATTTTGCCTAACAAGAAGACACATGGGGGCTCAGATGATGTGTTATGGCTTGAATTTGTGAAGTTGAGGACATCTATATCTTGATAAAGATAGCTTAATAATGAAACAAATTAGAATGAAACATCAAGAATGGGTAAATTTCATTTGCCTTCCATCAGTTCCATGGGGTTTGGGGTTAGTGCATTTTGTCTTTACCCTTAAAATTACAATAAAGTGATTAAAACTTAGCTATATTGATGCCACTGAAATTTGAAGTTTTAGTCTAATTTTAAAGCAAAAATGAGAAATTTTATTTAACTTATTCATAATTTTGAGAAAGTGCACTTAAATTTTTAAAATTTTAAAATAGTATAGAACATATCATTAGTTTTAAATAAAAGTATATAACATTTAAGGTTTCAAAAAGTATGCATAATTAGGTACGTGAAATTCACATTAGATGCACATAATCACCTAATGTTACATAAGATGTCCTAAATGTCCTTGTATTCTAAGTCAGGGGCATTTAAAGACATTCCATGAAAATGTGGAGGACAAAATTTTCCAATGAAGTTTAAGTAGAAAATAGAAGTTTATTCTCAAGGGTGACCTTTGGGTATTCTATTCCATGGAGAGATAAAACATGTTAACAAAACGGTGCCCCGTTTGGCATGCCCCGGCCCAAGCCGACATGCATCCATCCCCCATATTTTCCACAAGTACCGCAGCCATAAATGGGTTGCCACCTATCACACCATTATATGATTGTAAGCGCACTTTTACTTGGAGAGATTCCTAGCACGTTAAATGTGCTGCAAAAATCCAAACAAGTCATCATATATGGCTTTGAAGAGTTGAAGTAAAAATCAACATCATATCACATGTATCCTTGGAGAGGGTCTCTGGACCCCAACATACTGAGAGGAAGAGGGAAAATTCATTTTACTATCTATGCGAGGAAAACAGAAGAAATTATGGCCCAGGAAACTGCACCGTCCCTCCGTAGTAACCTATTTTGGATGTTTGCTGGGATGAAAAGTGGATGAACACCTTTCGTTTCAAACCATAGAAAATGAGTAAGCCAAGTTGAGTTTAACACGATTAATTTTACGAGAATTTACTAATCGTCTTATTTAACCATCGAATCAACAAATTGCCTTATTTAACCATCGAATCAAGACCTCATGGCTCATATTTGTTAATTAAGTTTCTTAAACCTCCTACTAACCTCCATTGAACGGAGTCTGAATTAAGGCATATACAGTCTCCATCAAAGACTAATTAATAAGGGATAATTATTGAAGTCGGTAGTTATCACGACAAATGGCAAAGGTGCAGAGGTGCAGTGAAAATTCAAAGGCAGGCGAGTTGGAATCAGGACTATGGATATGCAGAACAGGTGGCAAATTCCAGCGCCCCAAATCCTCTGGACCAAGTTATTTCCTCTGCGTTGTGTCCCTTTCGGCTAATCTTCCAAAAAAAAAAGGAAAATCGTTTTCAGCTTTTGGGCGAGGAATCGAAATCAAAGCAAAGAATAGTTCAGTTCACGTGTCTAATTACTCACCTTCCAGTTTCTCTTGAACTTTATTATTGCGTTTTGATTTTGAAAGCTAACAAACCCATACCAAACACCGCATTAGAAATCTATTAAGAGCTTAAGTCTATATATTAAGAATTTTTAGTTTTAATTTTGAGATGGATAAAAGGTACACTAAGTAAGATTTAAGAATAAAAGAGTTATTTTTTATTGAAAAATATAATCCTACCATATTGCCATTGCCAGATGATTTTGAAAGGTAACAAACCCCTTTAACTTATCAAATATTAGGTCAAAGCACTACTAGAAAAATGACGTATACGGACCGAACATATACGGACCGAATAGTGTCGGTCCGAATAAATAAATATCCGAACCAATATCGGTCCAAAC